GTGGTATCATCAGCGAAAGTCCAAAGATCCGACGCGGGCGATCTGCTATGGACAAACTCCCAGAGGGGATAGAGAAACATCTTCGCCAGCCCCACTCCACACGGGGAGCCCGCGACCAGAGAGCGGGCTGGGAAAATTGGTCTGCTAAGATTCGATATATGGTATAGGTATCTGGAAGCCAAAAAGAACTGTACTTCCAAAGACATCAGCGCCGCAGGGCAACCAAACCTCCTCGCCATACAGATGAGCATCACCAGAGACACATAATCACAGCATGTTCCTATGTCCAGGAGAAGGGGGTCCGCGAGGTGATCCCAAGCTCCAACCCCGACTCGTCGAAGCAAGCTCGTAATAGCCCCGCGCGCAACGCGGATGACCCTCTGATCGCAGTGTCCCAATGATAAGAAAGGCACTCTGATCAAGATTCACTGAGAGTCGCCTGCGCCTTGCTCCACAACTCTAGCATCCAAGCAATCATGCCCAAGACTCGATCGCCTCCTTTGGGTTTGGCCGCCCTTGCGCACTTGATGACTGCGCGCTGTCTAGGCCAGGTGCAATGCTGCTCGCAGTAATGAATCAGCTGACAAAGCTGCTGGCAAGCAACACTCGGTAGCCTCCGTACTGAGCCAGGTCCCAGTACGTCGAAACCCATCGCCTTGGTGTCACTCGACTTGCTGATGACCGCGTCTAGCTCTTCCAGGGCGAGCTCAGGGAGCTCTGGCTGCTTCGCCTCTATCGCCAGGACGCGGGGGGGCTCCATGAGTTGCTCCCTCGCTGCCACTGGGTCCGTCCACATGCGTTCCCCCAGGTTAGCCTTATGCTACATGACCGTGTCGGGTCCTCAAATTGCTGCGCGCATGACGTGGCCAACTCGAACGTGGGGGCCACCTTCTCTTTGACATGCCTGTGAAGTGCCCCAGGTTTCACCATCCACGTCTGCTTCGCCCACTTCGTGAAATTCTGCCGCTGGATGGTAACGTTCCTCGCGTGGGCCACAGCGCGATGCCGCTCAGACACGCCCAAATAATTCTGGACCTCGACATGGTTCCTGTGCTACAGGTGCAGGGTCTCGTCGAATGCCCATGCTCTACCATGCTGAGTCACGTTCTTGCCAGACACCTCGTTCAAGTTGAGGCCCTGCATATTCGCGATCTCCTTCTGAAGGTCGTCTCCTCAGGAATGTCCGCCACACACTGGCGCTGCTGGCTGGGGTCCGTGGAATGGGCTCTCAGCGCGCGGTGCCTCGATACTAGGGCCGTGCAGATACCCCAGTGCCCGGCCGCCGCATACTTCATGTGGGTCCTGCCTGGAGTAGCTCGCGCCCTTGCTTTTCGGACACTCCTTCCCGCTGATCTGCCCATGTAGAGGTGGTGTTGCTCCTCCTCGGTGTTGCTGGCCAGAAGGATGGCGTTCTCGACCTAAGAGACCCAGTCGCCGCACAGAACAGTGCCAGCAGCCTCCACATCCCACTGGTCCTGATAGGCGAAATAGAGGTGCTCTCCGGTGGACCTCAACTCCGCCGAGAGAGAGAGAGAGACCGAGGAGTCCTGCGAGCAGGCCTCCACACTCTGCCGCAGGTCCAGCGGGATCTCATACTGGCCACGCTTCTCTTCCAGCTCCTCGTGCACGTGCACCTGCTCGCATGCCGGCCCCGAGGTGCGGCTCCGCTTCTCAATCTTCTCCCGTGCTCGGCCTTCCTCTTGAGGCCACGCTTGCTCTGCGGGTCGGCCTGGGGGGCGGGAGTGGCCTCGGAGGGCGACCGCACGGTGCCTCCGGCCGCGCCACTCCGTCGAGGTGGAGCCTCAGACCGCGGTGAGTCTGCCGGGGGCAACGACGGATAGCTTCCAAACGCAGTCGGTGGGCCACGTCGCTGCGTGCCAAGCCATAGTCCAGCAGGCTGCCCTTCCCTTTGTCACGGGGGACGTCAACGTCAGGGCGAAGGAGCCCTCCACCGAGCTCCTCCAACAAGTTAGACTCCTGCATCTTCTGGAAAGGGATGTTCCAGTCCGCCAGTAGAACCTTGGGGCCCGTCATATATTGAAGAAGCGCCGACGAAGCGCGGACCTTGTTGAACTTTGAGCCTCCCGTGCCCTCCTTGGGGACCAGGTAGGCCGCAATGATTACCAGGTTGCCACCTCTCAAGTGCAGGGTGACCTCCGCAAAGCCGTGGAACGGGTCGCGCTAGCCCTCCTGCTTGAGCTTAGCGCGAATCTCGTCATAGCCCGTGGCCGCGATGTGGGACGTGATGGCGATGAACTCGCCTCCTGAATTTCCGTGCTCCGACTTCGTCGTGGGTACCGCATGGGTAGCCAAAAATCTCCATCCGTCTGGAGCCAAAATGTTACGCACGTGCGGGATCTGCTGCTCCGAGACGCGCGTCTCGCACATCATGAAAATGTCCATGTTGTTGCCAGGCTCGTGGAGGTACTTGCGGGCCCGCGGGCCCCATGTCGTGATGTTGGCGAAGACCACGCTGAACCCGATAGTCAGGTTCAGTAGCCCCTGCGTCCATGGGTACATCCGCGTCCGTGTTCTTCTTCGTGGCTGGCGGGGGCGGCGCAGGTGCCGACGACGAAGCGGGGCGCACCTGACGCCTGGGGTCAGCCTGGAACCCGGTGCGGGACTCGTCCCTCGAGGCGGTGCAGCGTCGCTGCCTTGCGACGGGCCGCAGGCGCCCTTGACTCAGAAGGCTGGCAGGAAGCTGGCAGCCCACGCGGGGCAGGACGCAACTGCCGCCTCGCGCTCGGCGGTCCGGGGACCCACGTGGGCCCGCACCAAATGTCACTCCGGCGAAAGGTCACTCTTCCGTGAATAGGGGAGCAAGACATGACATAAGCCTCGGATCGGCGCTGGAACCCCCTTCCTGGCGCGCTCCGCGCGCCAGGGGAGGCGCCGGAGGCGCCGCCGGGGGGGGGGCCCGGCGCCGATCCGAGGAATCCGCGCGGACCTCCGAGTTGTTATGTCTATGTCAGTGTGCGTTCCCCTGGTGATGCCGACTTCTGTGACCAAGAATCACCGTGTGTTTTTCGTTTGCGTGTTTGTGTTTTTTTGTTTCCGTTTTTTCGTGTTTGTGTGTTTTGTTATGTTTGTGTGTTTGCGTGTTTGTGTGTTTGTTTGTGCGACTCGCAGCCGCCGCCGCCACGAGGCGGGGGCGGTCCTCGCGCGGGGGGGCAGGCAGTGACCATGGACTCCCCCTCCTCCTCCTCCTCCTCCCCCCTCCTCCTCCTCCTCCTCCTCCTCCTTCTCCTCATTCTCCTCCTCCTCCTCCTCCTCCTCCCACCTCTCCTCCTCCTCCTTCTCCTCCTCCTCCTCCTTCTCCCCCTCCTCCTCCTCCATCCGCCTTCCTACTTCATGTTTCTACCTACTTCTTCCGACCGATGGGTAACGCAGTTTGAAGCTCTGGTTCAACCTTGGGGTGCACTTCAGACTCTGATGAAACTCTGGCCTGGCACTCTGCAGACCTGTGGGTTCGCTTCCGTGAGCCATCGCAGAGTCTTCCCTGGGAGTTTTTTTTCTGCGGAGTTTCTGTATTTCCCATAAGTTTTCCGAGAGATGGAGTTGTTTCGGAGGTTCCGGATTTCCAGGGAGTTCCGGGAGTTTCTCCCGGAATTTTCCCCCGATTGTTTTGGGGGGGGTTCTGGGGGTCCATGAGTTTTCTCGAGTTTCTGCATGTCCGTGAGTTTTCCGGAAGTTGTTCGTGTATTCGTTGTCTGAGTTTTTAGATTTAGGGTGTTGTTTTTGTTGGAAATTGTTTCTGAGTTAATTGGATTCCCAAAGGTTGTTTCCATTGTTTTTGCAGAGTGTCAAGATTCCTGTGAGTCTGCCCGGAATGATTAAATTGTTTGTTGGGCTTGTGGAATCACGGGGAAGTTTTCCGCAATTTCCAGATTTCCCGAGAGATCTTCACACTTTGCAAACGTGTGATTTAGTTTCCGTGAGTTTTCCGGTTTTTTTCCTTGGGGGTGTTTGGAGTTTCGGGTTTTCCGAAGAGTTTCTTGGGAGTTGCTTTTAGAGTTGAATTTTATTGATTTCCCGGGAGTCTTCCCAGAGTGTTTCTATTTCATGTTCATCAGCGATGTTGGACTAAGCCCTCCAAGCTCCGTCTTCACAGGCCTCTGCAAGAGTTTACTTCCACTGAGGACACCGCCTCGTTGGGAGACAACCATTCGAACACCCTGGAGCGAGCCAAAGTACCCTTCCCGAGACTCTAACGCCACGAACCAGCATGATTGCTGCGTCTTGACGCTCCGGAATCGCGCCAGAACGCAGTTTAGAGGAATTCAACACCGCGAATCAACATAATTGTTGCACCTCACAATCCTTAGTCCTTCCAGAACACTATGTCTGGCTCTTTGAGCATGGGAATAAATCAAGTATGTGCGGCGCTAAGGAGAGAGCCACATGTTGAAAGCCACCCGCTCTCAATTTGTGAAACTCTTGCAAATGTTTCAAACGAATGTGCGCGGCGCAAGGGTGAGAGCCACATTTTGAAAACCACCCGCCATGAATCCACCAACTTCTTGCAAATAGTTGATACGAATGTGCGCGGCGCGAAGACGAGAGCCACATGTTGAAAACCACTCGCCCTTAATCCGCGAAACACTTTGAGGCGAGAACACTTTTTTGAAACCCATCCGCCCTCAACTCGTGAAACACATGCACATGCTTGAAACGATTGCGCGCGGCGCTAAGGCGACTGTCACATTTTGAAAAACGCCCGCCCTCCACCTGTGAAACTCTTGGCATGTGTTAAGCGTCAGAGTCATAAATGGTGAGGAACTCTCAGGCGAAACGCCTGGCCCGCCCTTTCGACGGGCCTCGGGGTGCGACAGGGAGGAGCTATTTATAATTAGAAAGTGAGGAGGGGGAGGAGGAGGACGTTCGTATGAGGGGAAGGTAGCGGGAGGAAGGAGGAATGAGGCAGGACTGGAGAATTGATGATCAGGAGGAGGTGGCTACTCCTCCTCCTCCTCCTCCTCCTCCTCCTAAAAAGGGGGCAGGACTTGATTTTGACCGACGCCGCGTACACCGTCGATGGGCTGAACGCGGCTCTCCAGGCAGGCACCAACAAGAAGGCGACGGTTTGCTCACCCTGCCAGGCAGTGAGGAAGAGCGGGTTGAGGAAGGACAACCGAGGAGGGGATGAGAGACGAAGTGGGAGAGGGGCGGAGGAGGGAGCAAGGAGGAGTGACAAGAGACGAGGGCCTCGGAGAAGGAGGGAACAGAGATGAGGTGTGAAAGAAGGGGCAGGAGATCCGCTGGAGGGATGCGATGAGAGGGAGGGGGAGAAGGACGAGAAAGGAGGCAGGGTAGAGGGAGGCAGGAGGAGGCAGAAGGACGAGGCAGGATGGAGGAGGATGGACGGACGAGGGTGGGGAGAGGCGATAGGACGATGGATGGGAGAGGAGGAGAGGCAGGCTTGTTCCTCCCCCTGAAAGTGAGTCCCGTCGGGCCAGGGCTGAAAAACAGCGCCACGCGCGGGCCTATGCAGAGGTGGGCACGGTACTTTTAGTGTTCAGGGAGGTGAGCATGAGGTTGATGATGATGATGATGATGATGATGCTGATGATGATGATGATGATGATGGTGATGACGATGATGAAGAGGAGAAGGAGGAGTATAACATATATGATGATACTGGGGATGATGGTGCTGATGCTGGTGTTAATGCTGCTGCTGATGATGACGATGATGATGATTATGATGATGATGGTGGTGAATATGATGCTGATGATGGTGTTTGATGATGATGCTGCTGATGCTGATGACGATGAGAATCATGATGACGATGATGATGATGATGCTGATGATGATGATGATGATGCTGATGTTGATGATGATGATGATGATGATGATGATGATGATGATGATGATGATGATGATGATGATGATGATGGTGGTGGTGGTGATGATGTTGATGATGCTGATGATGCTGATGCTGCTGATGATGCTGATGATGTTGATGATGATGCTGCTGCTGATGATGGTGCTGGTGCTGATGCTGGTGATAAGGCTGGAGATGATGCTGGTGATGATGGTGGTGGTGACGATGGCGATGCTGCGAAATATGAGTATGCTGAATTTGATGATGATGATGATGATGATGATGATGCTGATGCTGATGCTGCTGATGATGATGCTGATGCTGCTGATGATGATGATGATGATGATGATGATGATGATGATGATGATGATGATGATGATGAGTTTGAGGATGATGAAAGGAGGAGAGGAGGGGAGGAGAAGGAGGAGGAGGATAGGAGGAGGAGGAGGAGGAGGAGGAGGAGGAGGAGGAGGAGGACCAGGAGGACCAGGAGGACCAGGAGGACCAGGAGTAGGAGGACCTGGAGACGCAGGAGCGTGCGGAGGACGCGGGCCGGGCGCGCCCTCGCTGCGCGGGGTGTGTGCTCCTGCCCCCCGGGGGGCGCGGCGCCCACCTCGGGCCGCTGGGGGCGGCGGCCTCGCGGGGCGCTGCGGCAGCTGGAGCCCACGCCGCGGCCTTCCGCCCCGTCGCGCAGCGGCTGTCTGCCCAGACATGCCCCTGGGGCCCCTAGAGGCTCCCGGGGCCGCCGGGGCCCTCGGCCTCCCCTGGGGGCCCTCCCCGCCGCTGCCCTGGCCTTCGAAGGGCCCTCCGCCCAGGGCCCCGCGGGGCCCCGTCGGAGCTGCGCCGCTTCTCTGCAGCGGAGCGGGCGCTCCCTCGTGGCTTGCGCTGCGTTCGCGCTCTCCCACGGCCACGCGTTTCCCCTCGTGAATCACGCTGTGTCCGTCGCCCTCAGGGCCAGGATCCCATGTAAAGTCCGGTGCGTCCGCGCTCCCAGGGCATTCCCCCCCAAAAAGATCCATCGTAAATTACATTGCGTCCGCGCTCCCAGGGCCACGATCCCTCGTACAGTACGCTGCTTCCACGCTCCCACGGCCTACGCCTATCCCCCCCATCGTTGCCCCTCATGGGGGGGGGGCGAGGACGCTGCTTCCGCGCTCCCACGGCCTACGCCTATCCCCCCCGTCGTTGCCCCTCATGGGGGGGGGGGGGGCGAGGGCTCGGGACCTCGCGTCGTTGATC